TGTGTGTATGTGTGTGTATGTGTGTGTACGTGTATGTATGTGTGTATACGTGGGTGTATGTGTGTCTCCCATCCATCTTCGAACAGCTAACAGGAGGGACCGATTGGCATTCGTACACACAATGGGACATTATAGTTTCGGGCTTCGATGCTTCCAAATATTTTAATTCCATTATTGTGTCTCTCTTCTCGTCTCTCTGTAATGTATTCCATCTCTCCGAGAAGTACACAAAAAAAAATCACTAAATTTATCTAAAGCTGTCCTTATTTCTTTTTGTAAATCTAAAAAAATGTAGTACAATGATTTAGATCATATCCAAGAAAAATGTATACATTTCAGTTGGATATAATTCGTTAAAAGGAAAAAAAAAAGAAAAGAATGTTACACTTACTTTTTATGATTAAAAAAAAATAATTTAAACAATTTCAAATGTCGATGCTTTTTTAGTTATCTGTCATATATACCATTTACTTTAGAACAAAAAAAAAAAACGAAAAATACGTATTTTAAAGAGAAGAATGGGATTTAGAAGTGATGTATGAGATTATCGAGAGTGGATGGATGGATGGATGGATGGATGTATTTCCAATTGAATTGATCGTCCCAGAGGAGAGACATGATTGGTGAATGCAAGCATTTGTATATGCCTCACTAATCACAAGTAAACAACCAGCTGTTTAATAATTCTGAAATTATTCTATAATTATTTTAAATATTCCAAAACTTCAAGTTAACTTATCTTTACTGGAACAGTTATGTATTTACTACAAAATTATTTAAAATGAATTAGTTAGACTTTTGTAATTGCGAAAAGACCAAGGAAAAACTTTTATAACTTAGCTACGTTGTTTTATTTAGCTAATTTTTCTAAATTCATTCGAAATTTAAGGAAAATTGTAATTCCTCCTAATAATGATATTTACAAAGTATTTGTCTGGTAGATCGTGATGAATTCAGAAACAAATCTGCATTTGATCTAGAAAGTGATTTTTTTCGTTTAAAAAAAAAAACTATCTTCATGTTATCACTATTTTTCTTGATCACTCATGGTATTAATTTCCCGCAAATTGATCTGAGAAGAAAATGTTCCCCTATTATCCCCCTCGATTTCTCGACTCCTTCTTACTGCAATATTCTCGTCCACCCGTCGTCCCATGACGTTAGAATTTCTCGAACTGTTCCGTGACAAACTATTGAGATTAGCAAATTTTCATATCGTTTCACGTCAGAGCGCGTGATAAATGTTGTTTTGCTGAAAGCTGTCGTCAGACGTGTCCGGGAGGAGGACAAAGGTTACGAAGGATGAGTTGGGGCGTTTCTGAGATGCGGAGTAGATTTAGGAAGTATTCTGAGATTTCTTAAAGATTTTAGATGCTATCAATAACGAAATTACTTTATTTTAATAATTGGAAACGGTGTGATTAAATCGTTTAGAGTTGTGACGTGATGAACGAGTTGATCTGTAATGTTCTTGCATTAATGGAATTTTTAACCAATCTGCACTATGTACTATTAGTATTTCAGGTGGTGAGAGGTGTATGATAAATTGAGATGAGATTCTCGCTGATAAGATGTAAGATGCCAACAAACACAAAGCTGTGGCAAGATCCAGTGCTTGGATACTTTGAAACGCATGGAAAAATGAAATTCATTGCTGGAGAAGATTACGGCATTAGTGATGAAGAGAAAAAGGTCAGCTCCAATTATTTGGAAATCTTTTTAAGCTTACAAATACTTATAATAGCGCTGAATTTCTGTTGTTAGTCTTAAATCAGATAGTTGAGATTTTTTTTGGTCTTAAATCAGGAAGTTGATTTTATCAGAGGATTAAATTAGAAGATTGTTAGCCTTAAATCAGGAGGTTGATTCTCTTTGTTTGCAGTGTTATGACTGTGTGAAAAATCTACTTACAGTTCGCTGTTATTTCTTATTTTCGGTTTTTTTTTTTAATTCCAAAGTTTGACTTAGTAGTGCTGTTAATGTCTTTACCAAGCTTTTTAGTATTTTTATGGATTTCAGGCTGTATTATGGCGATACCGTTTAAAAGAAATTCTCAAGAAAGAATATCTTAGACGAGAATACGATCCGCATGTCTTCAAATACAGGGTATTGCTTTCCGTGGGAGATTTATTTATTTAGCTCATTCATAATGTGCGTATGTCTATTACAGTGTGAGAAAGAAAAAAAGAATGGAAATGATATGAGATTTCCGTCGCGATAGGTTTCGAAGTCAAGTTGAATTGTTTTGCTAGGGAATTTATTATGTTATCTAGACTTCTGATTTCTGAATTTTTCTGCATTTTCTAGCTTATTTTTTTCTAGTTATGTACTGTAGGAAGGTGTGGTTATGGATCCAGCTGTTTTTCGCTGGTATTCGGCTAATGCGATGCAATATGAGTTTTTCCGTTACACCCCACGATCTGTGTTCCTTTATGCTGGCTCATTTGTCTTCATATTCTATATTCTGGTCAGAATAATGTTTCAATTTGAGGTACGCTTTAAAAATTCCGGAGTATTTTATAATTTCTTCAGTGTTATGTTTAAAATGTCGGCGATCCAATTAACATGAATGGATTGAACGAAAGCAAGATATCTGAGATTATTTAAAATAACTCTCTGTAGCAGTCATTACTGCGAAATGCTTTATAATAAAAATTAAGTAGTTTCAAGAAGGAATAGAATAAATTTTATTTCTTAGTTGGTAGACTTTCTGTCAGACAATATTACATTTCCGCTCTGACTGGTCATCGACAATAACGAAAAATTACTGTTGCTCATTTTGCATTTCGCCATGTTGTTTTTTCGTTTTAAAAACATGCAACGTTTATCTTGCCTGCAAACTAACGTGTTAAATGTTAAGGAAAGAAAGGATGCAAAGAAATAAAGATTAAAGTTGAGATTAAGTAGTTTCAAGAAAGTTAACTTCAAATCTTAAGTTTTTCATCGGTAAATCATTCAAATTGTGAAATCATCTATTGTCTGCACTGTGCTCATTGTGTTTAATCGGGAAATGGTATTTCTTTGCTTTGAATATATATACATATATATATATAACTTTTTAGTATACTATTAAGTGAATTAAGCCGAGTGTAATAAGAAATGAAACCAGGCAGAGTCTTGGAGGTATCATTTCTTTATCAGTTAATAATTTCATTGCTGTTGGCTATGTGAACAGTTAAAATTTTCAAAAATTCAGGATCCTAGCCGCGACATGTGCTTGGATGGTGAATTGCTGTGGTGGGATCGTATGTATAATCGTCATGTGAACACGTGTGGCCACTTCCATTTCAGTCCAACATTTGTGAATTAGAAACCATTGTGGTCGAAGTTTTAGATATTCCAGGCTTATCTTTCATTTACTTAATATAAAATAGATAAATGATTTTGTGTTCGCATGTGTGTCTGTCTTGAACTTATACCAGTTTATATCGAGATATGAATAAATTATGAATATATCCATAAAATTCGAAGTACACTTGCATGTGTTGTTAGGAGCCATCGTACATAAAATTTTGGCATCGTATCGGAATAAAAGGGTTTTAAAATTTGAAACTAGCAGTTTGCAGAAAGTTGTTGAATATTCATGATACTCGTTATTAATGAAAGTTATAAGTACGAAGCTGGAATTTGAGGATGAACATGCTGGGAACTTTTGCTTATAGATTGAGATGGTACTTATACAGTTGTCACTGTTTATATGGATTGCTTCAGGTTTCTGATGCTTTTCATTTTATTCTTGTGAAATTATGGGAACAAAGGCTTTACTGAAGACCATTCGTCAACATATCGATGCCAAAGAATTCAAAAAAGCGAGGGATATTATAGAGGTGTGATATTTATGGTTATTAAAATATATAACGTACCGGTACACTCAACACTGGTATATAAGATTGAATTTGGCTTAGCTCATTCTGGATTTTTTACACCCGAAAACAATTGCTTTTTCTCTGCGTGGGATGACCCATTTTTAGAGAGTTGCAATTTAGATTTAAGAGCTTAATAATTTTCTTCTTACTAGTTGCAGGATCTGTTGAAGCAGAATGTGTCTGATTATTTGTTATTCGTTTTCGCAGCAGTTACAAATGGTGAGGCTGGAAATGATTGCCAGGCTGTTAGTTATTACAAAAAGGCAACCGAACTTGATCCAGAGAAGCCTTTGGCTTGGCAGGGATTGTACAAACTTTATGAACAGGGGAAGTATGTTGATTTGGAGCACGTCCTAATAGTAATCCAAAATCTATTACGCATGCCTGGGTATGTTAATATTTTATTCAAATGTATGCAGTTGATTAAATTTAATATTTTTTCCTATTGGAAATTTACCCAAACATTTCATAGGTTGTTCTGCTTCATAAAAACATGAGAAATTTTCACAATTTTTTTCAAGAGGCGAGTATCATCATCATCACCACTTAACCTAATCCGGTTATAATATTGTACAATTTAGGATTACTTCGGAAAAAGTTTGTGCGTATGAGAAAGAATTGGCTTTTATTTTACTGAAATTGAAAAGATTTGATGAAGCTTTTTCAAATCTTGATCGATTAAATGATGGTGAATTTTGTTATG